AAAAACTCAACCGGGCTTGTTTTTAAATAACAAATGGGCAAATGCCAAGGTTATGTATGCGCGAGTCAGCAACCCATTGAAGCCTGGTTGGATGGCTTTCCTGATATACTTAACTCTTCATCTTACTATTCAGGTTTATTTATAAATAAAAAAACTGATTCGGTTATCTGCTCTTTGGTGATCAGGGGAAGAACTGCAACCATATCATGATTAAATGTTGGGGACAAAATCAGTTTCATTGATGACTATTTTCTTGAGTCCAAAACGAACAATTTGTTGACCGATTTTTCGAGCTAATTTAAGATAAATATATCTAAGAAATATTTTCTTTATGGTACCATTCTTTGGGCTCTCGTACTTCAATTCTTGCAACAGTTTTAAGTACAACACCCGAGCGATTTAGCAGATCAAAAGGGAAAAAGGTGAACACTTAATTATGTATTTTTTAGGAATCTGCTCAAAGAAGATTGATGAAGCTTTTTGGCTGTGATTATTTGTCTTATAGGGATGATTTGGTCTGTTAACTAGTGATTGCAAATGTCAAATGTGATTGGCAATAGGGCGAACATTGTTTTGTGGTCATTATAAACATACAAGTTAAACATAAACTATGATACATATTGACATCGTTTCATTATTTTAAACGTTATTTGAGACAATACATAATTACGCATTGTTTACTTCAAAGATTATGGTAAATTATTAACGCCAAATCAGTGTTTTAGAAGTCGCTAGGTGTTCGACGGTTCGACCAACACTTAGCACATAGAGCATTTAGGCAGGGTTTAAAATTAAGATTAATTATTTTATTTTTTTAATTTATTTTTACTGCTTAAAAAATGAAACTCAGCAATAAATTCACACCTAAGTCCAAATAATAATATTAATATAATATAAAAAATGATAATAACTTAATGAAATTAGTAAGAAACTATATAAAAAAAAATGAAAATTCCATCACGACCTGCCTAGTGTCGCCCATGCACCATGCCAGCCGAAGCCGCCTAGGAGGCTGATGAAGATCGTGTATAGTGGACTAGGACGGTGTTAATCCGCGCTGACGGTCGTCGGTTAAACACAAGATTTGGCTAGAAACCTAGCAATTTTGGTTTGTTATTTCTTGAATGTTTTACCCTACGACCAATATAAGTTATATAAAGAAGAAAAATAATGAAGTTTGCAAATAATTCTTAACGAATAATAACGTAACGAAATTAACCCTGCGATGACAATGAGGATGACGATGACGAAAACGACTATGATGACGACGACGACGACTTAAAATGCAAATAAGTCATATTGAGTAATTACTTAACGAAATCAACCATACGATGATGATGATGATAATTATTATTATTATTATTATTATTATTATTATTATTATTATTATTATTATTATAATAGCTCTGCGCCGAATAGTCAGAAACTGACCCGTCACTGATCGTGCGGCTACGGCTCTTGCGCCTTGATACGAGCTCGGTTCTACGCATTCTTAAGATTCCAGCCTTCGTCCTCATCAGAGGCTAGGAGCGCCTAGGCGACGCCAAACTGACTGGGCGATTTTTTTGGCCGATCAGCCCAGATCGGTGATGTTTTGCCATAGCCTAGCGTCTAGGCTGATTTTTAGTACATTGTGCTGAAATAGAATTATTAATCTTTATATTTATTTGTATTGGTTGTTCATAATTTTTACTTATTTACAAATAATTTCTAATAGTAAGCTTTAAATCCTGAAACATAATCTTGTTATTGAATGGTTAACTTTTTAACAGTAGAATTATATTTACGATATATCTTATTACAAAGGTAAATATAATTGACAATTTGCTTCATATAGTAGTAAAATATTGATGAACCGTAAAGCATGTAGTGCACTATTTTGCGAAAAGGTTGTGAGAACAAAAAAGCATTTAAGATTCGACAAGGCAATTGCTTCTTGCAAATTTGGTTATCTTTCTGTGTGACATAACAAGTACATTATTTACATTGTACAGTAATATTATCAATAATTAAGTCTTTTTTTTACATTGTACAGTAAATCAGTAATATTATCAATAATTAAGTCTTTTTTGTCTGCTACGTTTTCCTATTTAGACGGTATAATTCAACTATATTATCATTTGTCATTAATTTATCCATATAACTTTTTTACAACAAAAGATGTCCATAGGCATAGAAAAGAGCGGTCTAAACTGACAACCGTGAATCATGTTGAACAGGTCTCTCTTTCTCTGCAATTTTATCTATTTTCTTAACCCAATTGATGTTGGCTTAGGGTAGGTAGCCTGCTTATGTTAGGTTATCTCCATTAAGTTACTAATTAAATTAACCATCTTTTTCTATTAACAAAAAAATTAGCGTTTATTATTATTTTCTCAATTAAGAAGTTGTCACGTCCAGAGCTGACGTTTACGTTTTCAATACTTTGGCCTCAGTTCTCAAGGAAAAATAAAATAAAATCAAATAAAAGTCGCGATATGAAATAATCCCCATTGATGACGGTTGACTTTAACTCGCAAACTCAAGAAGCACGCACTGTGTGTGTAAGGTTCCTGCTCGAGAAAATAAACTGTAACAAAG